CTCCCCCATCCATGCCCCCACATCCCCCCCTCGCTTTCTCCTTTTTACAGAGGGAATGCCCATATTGACATAGCTGAGGTTATATATGAACTTTCTGTTGAAGAATTAGAGCGTCTCAGAGACAGATATTAATTGCCTAGGCTCTGTGAGAGGCAAGCATCCACTACTTACATTTCAAAGAGATTTGAAGCCTCCTGCTACACTGATATGGTGCTGAAAAGTACTTGTTTATATGTGGATCTACAGGAATTGGGAATGCCCATATTGACATAGCTGAGGTTATATATGAACTTTCTGTTGAAGAATTAGAGCGTCTCAGAGACAGATATTAATTGCCTAGGCTCTGTGAGAGGCAAGCATCCACTACTTACATTTCAAAGAGATTTGAAGCCTCCTGCTACACTGATATGGTGCTGAAAAGTACTTGTTTATATGTGGATCTACAGGAATTCCTCTGAAATACCTACTTCATAGTTCAGTGATACCACTATTTACAAGCCAGGGCACTACTATACACTAACACAGTCACCATTGGAAAGAGAAGTGCATGGTTTAACTACTGTAAACATTTCTTGTGTTCTGTCACAAAGTTAAGATCCTCTATTAATTTTAAAGGAAATCTGGTGAACATACTGCTCAATTTTAAAGACTTCTCTAATATTGACATGCTTTCATCTTCTTAAGGCCTCCCCCAGAGATTCATACTTGACTGAACTGTAGACACCAACTTTACCAATAGTAGCTTTGGTAGACTATTATAAACAAACAAACAAACAGAAACATCCTAAAGCTAAAGGAATTATATTATCAGTGCAAACACAATTTCACTTAGCTAGCAAAGACTAACAGCTACACATAGGTTGTATCAGGAAGAAATTCATGAGTGTGGGTTTCATCATTCAGATGCAGGAGTGCTTTATCTTTGGGGGGGATCCTTTTCTATTACATTACATAACAGCAGACAGTTAATGTAAATGAAACACTTGCTCAATGTTTTTAAATGAACAGTTTCTTAAATCTTAGTGCCTATATGAAAAAAGCTCTAAAAATATGTAAAATTGAGATGATCAGTTTAAATATAATCAGGACAGTTGAAGAGTGTGTGTGCTTTTAAAGCAAAATGCTTAAAATGTTTTTAAGGTGAGTCTTGTAAACATGTACAGCGTATAGACGTATGTATTTGGTGCTCTGTCCAGTCAGGTAAGATGGTAGTGTAAATCTAATGAGACACACAATCATTCAAATCATTCCCCCATCATTAAAAGCAAAATAACAACAACAACAAAACTCCAACAACTTTAAAGGTTAAATAACTATATGAAGACAGTGAACTATTATAACTTAATGAAAAAAATTTATTATTTACACTTTTTTTTCAAATCTGATTCTAAGGTGTATTACCTTAGGTATTTAAGTACATAAAAGATTTTATGGGAGGAGAAATAACAGTATTCTAGTGAGGCAAAACACAAAATTCCCTCCCTTTTCTCCCCCTAGCTTCCAGTTTGACAAGAGGAAATGCCTAGCAGAAGCCTGTCCAGGCTGTGCTTTGAGGAGCACCTGGCTGCTCAGACTTCCTACTGCACCACCTGCTGCTGCCTGCATGATTTCTAGCAGGAGCTCCAGGTTCCAGTCTGGCACTTCAGGTAATGACAAATGACCAAAAATGTTTGAAGACAACAGGAAACATGTATCACATCCTCTGAGATTTCCTGAAGCAGATTGTCAGTCAGATTACACTTGCTAGCTTAAAAATATCAATAATCATCCTACTGTTTACAGAATTGCACCCAAATGAACTATAAAATGGACTGGGCTGACATTGGTTCCTCAAAAACACATTTATTATAAAACTCTATAACTCTTTCAGCAAGGATGAGTAATGCAAGGATTTTTTTAAATTCCATTATCTCCTGGTCTTTACATTTTATTGAATTTCTGCATACATCAATTATTTAGCTGTTTTTAAAAGCTAATCTACTTTAAATTCTCAAAATCAGTACCAAAGAAAATATACAGCTTATAATTCTAATGGTTAATTTATAAAACTTACACCCCAGATATTTTTTTAAAACGGGACTTTTTCTTTTTGTAAATAGTGCATACAAAGGCACAGGAGCTTCTGAGTACATTGATGGAAGCTGAACCTTGTGGCATCAATGATCATTGCTTCAGTTTATCTTACACTAAATGTCCAAACAGCAAATCATTTAGTTCATGCTGAACTAAACTTCCAAGAGTATATGATTTTGGTTTTTTTGGTCTTTTTGAGACAGGGTCTGTCTGTAGCCCCAGCTGTCCTGGAACTCACTATATAGACCAGGCTGGACTTGAACTCACAGAGATCCGCCTGCCTCTGCCTCCCGAGTGCTGGGATTAAAGGCCCGGCTGAGTATATGATTTTTAAGTAATTTACATAATTCAGCCTTGATAGGTATTCGAGGAAAAATATAGGTTGACTTAATAATTTTAATGAAAGGGACATAGATATAACAAAGATAGGAATAATCTATTAATCCATCAGGAATTCTTAATACTCAGTATTTTTGCCGTATTCGATACAGGAAATAACCTCAACAGAGATTTTGTAAAAGCCAAATCAGCAAGAGTGTTTTCAACCAATCTTCATAATTATCAGCATAAATTTCCTCCAATTTAAATTTAGAAGAGATAAAATAAATTTCTGAAATAAGCCCTTTGTTAAAACATTATTAGTTCTGACAATAGTTTTCCAGCCAATTGCTTTGAACAGTGAATTCAAGCTTCACAATTCATCCTTGTTTTCCAATAAGGGGTAAAGGCTAGAATTAGATTGAAAACCTGCCAAAAGTGGATGGTGATCTTCAGTTGTAGGCCAGTTGGCCTTTGTAATGAACTCAGTACAGTTCTCTCATCTGAAGCCAGATTCACACCAAGGGAAAAAATCAAGGCAGTATGATTTCTTACCTTCTTCTTCTTGAAGGTAATTAGCAGGTTTCACAAATAAAGCTTGTAATTATGTGAACTGAAATCTCTTAAATCTTAAGATTAATCTAAATTTTCTGAAATAGATAGCAAATAACAAATAGTATTATGTGATCAATTGCACAACCCAAATATTTGGGTGAAAACTGGCCCATGAACTTATTCCCAGTTTTTGGCAGAAGATTGCTCTGCTTTAATTCATAAACTACAATTAGTTTAAAGAATAGGGATTTGTTGTTACTTATAACAATCTATGCATCGGATCAAAAACGTGCTCTACTTGAAGTATTGACTTGGCAATAACTGCTCGATATTCTCCATACCCCAGGGTTTGATCCCCAGCACTGAAGAAAAAAAAAAAATCTTCATATTTAGTCAAAGGGATATAGGGACAATTGGCCAACGGTGCCTTCCTGTGGGTAGCCTCTTCATCCTTCTAACAACATTGGTACCTTAAAGGAAACAGAAACCATGAGACTATTGTGTTAAGTGTAAAAAGAAACACCCCAGCAACTTGCTCATCATTTGTTGCAATACATAGAGCCCTTGTTCAGATCTCGTTCCTATGCTACAAAGCTTGGTAGGCATGTTCTTGAATAGAGACCTCCAGATTCCATGTGCATATGGAGAGGATCTTACTAAAAATATTTTTAATGTAGATTCTGAATAGAAGGTCTAGGGTAAGGAACAGGACTCTGCAAGTCTGGCAAGCAGTATTAGAGGCCAGTACTGCTGCTTTGGGACCAGAATTTGAGAGGCAGTAGTCCATGCTGTGAGTTCTGCATTCATCCCTCTGAGGCCAGCCAGAGTATGGGAATGGCAGAACAGCTGGAAGGGAAATTTAAGGAAATGAATGCATACTATCACAGTATTTTTATATTTTCTTATATTACAGGGAAGACTTGGCATGCCTGAATTAATCTTTTTAGCATAACAATGGGTTTTAGGAAAAATTTAAATTTTCAGAAATTATGCTGAACTACAAAATAACCATATAAAAAGGCCACAGGTTGGGCTTGGGACACAGCTCGATGGTATAGGACAGTGCTTGTCTAAAATGCATGAGGTTCTGGATCCCATCTCCAGCATCTCCCCAAAAGTCACAGGTCATTTATTAATGTAGTGCAAAAAGACAAGGAAAAAGTGAAGATATCATCTGCCAATATGAATTAGGTCCACCAACATTAGACATCATTTTCATAAAGGAGTATATTAAATAACTTGCAAATTTGAGACAGTTCAAGAAAAAATATTTTTAGAATATTTTATTTGCTATTTTTATTTTATATGTAAGTGCACCCAGGTCATGAAATACCCACAGAGGTCAAAAAAGGGTGCCTCAGAGCCTATGGAACTGAAGTTATGGATAGTTGTTAGCCACCATGTGGGTTCTGGGAACCAAACCTGGGCCCTCTGCAAGAGCAGCCAATGCTCTTAACTACTGAGCCATCTCTCCAGCCCCAAGGGAAATAATTTTTTTTACAGTGTCATGTCTGTTACTATCTTAGGGGAAGCTTAATTGAAACATTTTGCTGGTAATGGTTATGCCACTTGAATGAAATATATATCAGAAGAATCACCCTTTCTATAGGTCTGTGCAATTGATTTACATTGCCATTTGGTTATTACAGTTGTCACATTCAAATATAATAAAACCAAGTTTCTGTGAGTTTTTTATTTTAAGCTGTTTGATCACTTTTCTAGCAAATATCTATTGAGAACCTACTATCACTGTTTTTGTGAAAGGTGTTGGGGTTGGTCACCACCAAAGGCAGCACTGGGCTGTGCCAAAATACTAATAAGCCTAAGAGACTCACATACAGCACACCACAGAAGCATAAGCAATGTTTAATTCACAGAAGTTACTAATAAAGATCTCATAAACATTAGAAATTAAAATTAATAATTTAAAATACCCCAAACAAATCCTGTGAATTTTATGTCTTAAACAACTATGTTCTGCAAAATATTTTATTTGCAATTAACTAGTGGTTCGTAGTTATGTATTCACAGGTCCGTTCTTAGGATCTTTTCCAGAAATTTAATAATATCTTCTTGCATTTAACCAAATTCAGAATATTCCATTTTCATGGTCTGCTGAAAATGGTCAGTAGCTGTGGTCAATCTGATATACTGTGCCATCTTGTTTTCAGAGCTGATTCATAGCTTCCCAAAGTCAAAAGAGACCCAAAGTGGCAACTTAACAAATCTGTATTTTGTTCTTTATTGCATGTTTATTCATCAAAATCAAAGTAAAGTGAAAAATTCAATATTCATGAAGTACTTTGATACAAATGATTATTAGGCATGAATCTCCTTTTCCCCTTAGACTTGGGGATTATAGATTGCAGTATGCTTTTTTAAAATAGAGAGCTGCACTTAGAGCGTTTATGTTCAATGTATTATATTGTTTGTTGTTGAGACAGGGTTTTACTCTGTAGCCTTGGCTGGCTTGGAGCTCCCTATATGGATCAGGCTGGGCTGTAACTTGCCGAAATCCTCCTGCTTTTCCTTCTGACTGCTGGGATTACAGGGTGTACATTCCCATCCTTGGCATATACTATGTTCATTCTAATACTGCACATACAGTTGGTTTGTTTATTAGTTGGACATGGGTTTATTTCAAAGGTTCTCATTATGATAGCTTTATAGCAACTATGGGTTTATAAACAGATTAGGTTTTAAGGAAATGGAAGTACCAGGGTTTTCTTGATTATAATTTAAGGAGAATGATCAGGAGTACCTATTATTTTTAAGGATGACCTGTGATGAGGTCCTACTTTGAATGACCCAAAATGGGGATACAGTGGTTTGTGCTGACAAGATCTAATCATCTAATACTTAGAACTAGTAAGATTCTGCAAATAGATTACCAAAATATGATACAATAATCCTAAATGATATAAAGAAGGAAAATTCTATGATCCCATAAAATACAAGATAATTTTCATGTATATTTAATATGTTAGGATCCATCCTTGTCATTTAATGTATTACTACAATAATATTTTTTCCAATAACTTATTTCTATGGCTTATCAAGTTAACCAGAGTACTAACACTGAAGCTAGGTCCATGTCTAGCATGATGAATGCAATCCCAGAAATTAAGTAACACAATTGTTTATGGAAAACTATAAACTATGAAACAAGAAATCTGTTAAAATATAAAATGTGGGGCTGGAGAGATGGCTCAGAGGTTAAGAGCACTGACTGCTCTTGCAGAGGACCCGGGTTCAATTCCCAGCACAATTCAATACTGCCACCTGACCCCCTACTCCGAGGTCCTGTTACACCTATTATATTTACATTTAATTTATGCAATTGAGCAGCAGCATCTCCAACTGTAAGATTTGGCATAAGGAAAAGAGCAAAAACAAAGCTCTTCAAATGTTCTGGTGTCTCTCTCAGTACTTTCCATCTTATAAAATCAGTAAAAGGCATGTCCTCTGGGCCCTCCCATTGTGGAGGATTTGGTGTTGCACTGCGAATCCACTCGAGCATACCAATTTGCCTGAGCTTTACAATCCCTTCATCAACACTAAGCCAAGGAATATCAGGTATCTCCAGCTCTCTGTCAGTAGGCCATCTCTTGATAAATACCTCAGCCAACCAATCAAATAAACTTTTAACACCTTTTTAACTGCACGAGCTTCCATATTAAACCTAGAATCTCCAGTCAGGGGGCCCATGTCAATAAACTCAGCCTGATCCAATTTTATGTTCCTTCCACCATTATCCCATACCCTTAGCTTTGAGTATGGTTATAGGTCTAGAGGCAACAATAACTGGGCCCTGAGGCTTAACTCCAGTTCCAGGGGAATCCGAAGCCCTCTTCTGACCTCTGTGG